AAGTCGCTCATAAAAAAATAAAAATAAGAAAAATAAGAAGAAGAAGAAGAATTGAGTGTACATCGGGTCCTAATTGTTTTATGAGTTGTATAGGATTGTGTCAATTTAGCTTGCAACATATAAAAAAAAAAAGTGTTTTGATTTGGTCTCCCAACTTAATTTTGTCTACCTTTCTGGCTAAACTAAGGGTAAAGCTTGAAAACTATATATACACATCATCAAAAATTGAGGAAAAAAAAAAAAGAAAAGCCAATATCCCTGGAGAGGAATATTCACATTATTATAATAAAATGTAATTTTTGTGACGCAGGAAAAAAAATTTGTCTCCCAAAGCTTATATTCTATAATAAATGAGATCCTTGCCAAATTTTCTGTTGATAATTATTTTGGCAATTTTTTTTAATTTTTGATTTTTCTTGTAATACATCATCCAATATATTTTCATATATAAGCATTCGCTTTTTGTTGATGTGTGTTTATGATTTTTATGTTTTGCCCTGAGTTTAAATAAAGAAAGACAAAATAGGTTAGAGGACCAAATTTTTTTATCAGTGTGGGTGCCAAATAAAAAAATCAACTTCAAACTGGTCCTTTCAATTGGGTCGTATAAGTACAAAGCCCAGTGAGCTAGGGATCGTTGCCGAGTAGGCGTTGAGGCCCACGGGGAAGCCGAGTTAAATATTCCGGCCATGTGCCGAAACCAACTAATCCGGAGTAATCGGAAGGGTCCTATTGGACCAAACTGTGGCTCATCCCATAAAAGCATGATGAGATGGTGGGAACCAAGAGGAAAAACAAAAAAAAAAAAAAAACCATAAAAGAGAAAGGCAGGCTCTAAGAAAGAAATGATTACTTAAGTAATAAGAGAAAAGAAAAGAAAAGAAATGATTGTAATTTCTCTCCTTTTTGTTTGGATAAGTAAGAAATAAAAGAAAAGAAATGATTGTGATTTCTCTCCTTCTTGTTTGGTTAGATTTCATTAAGAGAAAAGAAAAGAAATTATTTTATGTTATATTACCAAAATAACCTTTTTATATTTTCAATCATTTTATTTCTTTTATTTTTATAGGGGTAAAATTGGTATTATGAAAATATAAACATTTGTGGATTTCTTTTCTCTCCCAATCTCTCCACTTTTGGGAAGATTGAAAATAAGGGTTATGAGAGAAATGAGTTTCTCTCCATTTCTTTCTATTTCTCCCCATTTCTCTCTACTTAAGATAACCAAACAAGGAAGAGAAATACATTTCTCTCTATTTCTTTTCTTTTCTCTTCAAATCACTCAATCCAAACACAATGTAAAAGAGAAAGGCAGACTCTAAAAAATATAAAATACCAATTATCCACATGTAAAAATTGACTAAGTCGTGTTAATTCTAACACTATTGATCGGAATTGTTTATCTGTTTTAGATAACATTGTGGGGATCTTTTGGGTTTTTTAGAATTCTAGAAGTATTTCTAAACTCATATCTCCATAACCAGCAGAATAAACATTTTGTTAAAAAATATGAAATTAAAGGTATAGAAATGCATCCGAAGATGCAATGTATTGAAAAAAAGAGATTAGAAATTATAAATTACCGCTACTCGCATCCATATAATCAATCTGTTGGCCGAGAACCACCCACCTTCCATGGCCAAAAAACCCAAGGCCGAAAAACTCCCTAGGCTGAAAACCGTGGCCGACACGATGATTTCTTTGTGCAGAAGAAGGATGGTCTTGGTAGACTTGGATTGTCTACTTTACAAAAAGTAACAAGTGCATTTCGAATGTTGGCATATGGAACGGCAGTCGATTCTACGGATGAATATATACGAATTGGTAAGTCTGCTGCCATTCTATGTATTAAAAAGTTTTGTCGGGTAATTGTTGAGATATTTGGAAAAAAAAAAAAAACCTTAGATCACCTAATTCCAATGACATTGCAAGTTTGTTAAAAAAAAGTGAAGAACAAGGCTTCCCAGGGATGCTTAGGAGCCTTGATTGTATGCATTGGTCTTGGAAAAATTGCCCAACAGCTTGGGCAGAACAATACTTTGGACGTGGTGGATCCCCAACTATTATTCTTGAGGCAATGGCATCTCATGACCTATGGATTTGGCATGCATAGTTTGGCTTACTGGGCTCCAACAACAACATTAATGTCCTGAGGCAGTGACATCTAATTTGTTTGTGAGATTCGCAAACAAATTTGATGATTGCAAGACATTAATGTCGTTGTTGGAGCCCGGTAAGCCAAAATATGCATGCCAAATCCATAGGTCATGAGATGCCACTGCCTCAAGAATAATAGTTGGGGATCCACCACGTCTAGAGTATTGTCTTGCCCAAGCTGTTGGGCAATTTTTCCAAGACCAAAGCATACAATCAAGGCTCCCAAGCATCCCTCGCAAGCCCCGTTCTTCACCTTTTTTTAACAAACATGCAATGTCATTGGAATTAGGTGATCTAAGGTATTTTTTTCCCAAATATCTCAACAATTGCCTGACAAAACTTTTTAATACATAGAATGGCAGTAGACTCACCAATTCGTATATATTCATCTGTAGAATTAGCCGCCATTCCATATGCCAACATTTGAAATGCACTTGTTACTTTTTGTGAAGTAGACAATCCAAGTCTACCAAGACCATCCTTCTTCTGCACAAAGAAATCGTCGTGAGCTTTCACGGCATCAACAATCTGTAAATATAAACTTCTACGTATTCGAAATCTCCTGCGAAATAAATTTTCCTCATAGGTGGGGTTCTCTGAGAAGTAGTCATTCCATAATTGAGCATGACCTTCTTCCCTTTTACGATCTCTCACTATATTTCCATGAACTGAACCTTTACGTACCAATTGATCATTTTCTTCAAGATATTGAGCTATGATGATGTTGTTGGAGGCATATAAATAAAGTAATACATTTTCTTCCTCTTCCCATGCTGCCATTTCTTCTTCATAATCAGGGAATGGTGGTAAATAAACAAGCTCTGCATCCATTTCTTCATGAATATACTCGGCATCCATTTTTGTTTTAGAAAGCTCTACAGTCATTTTCTTTGATGTATGAGGCTTTGGTTTTTCTATAAAATAATAGATGGTAAGGAAAATAGATGGAGGGAAAATTGATGGTTAATTTTGGAGGGAAATATTTAGAGAAGAAAATTAAGGTTTGTGGTTGGAGTTTGAATGAATAGTGATATATTCTATATTTACTTTTTGAATAAAAAAAATTATTTTCATCCTCTTGGTGAGAGGATTAGGTTGGAGATGCCCTTAGGGCCAAGTAGGCTTAGATTTGTTCAAAAGCCTCAGATTGAAAAATAGAGGTCATTTCGCATGGCTTCCTCGTCTCGCACTCTCACGTTTAATGCCACATCCAGTATAATCTCGCCAGTGTTCCCTTCGGATCTCACCTCGCCTCACTCAACCACTACGCCGGATCTTCAATCCTCACTTCCGAGGCTGATCCCTCCCGTACTGTTATCGTGATTCCTATTCGTGAAGTGAACATCAATCTCATTTGAGGTACATATACTTTTCTCTTTTCAATTTGAAGATTTACGCCTTAAAGGTTGGGAATTGTGTTTGATACGTATTTGAAGTACTCATTCAGTTTTCAATTGATAGCTAATGGAATCGTTTTTTAAGTTTAAAGTTTGAATAAGCTTTTGATTACACTTAATATTAGGCGAAAATATGATTACAAGCTGAATAGAATAAAAATTTGGAAGCTTGGTGTGGTATAAAGGTTTTTGTTGATGAAAATTGTTGGAATTTGTCTGTCAGTGGATTTTTTTGGCACAATTACAACTAGAAGCGTAAGTTAGTTGATTTATTGGAATTTTTGCTTGAAATGGAATGAAGTAAGAAATACCATGGTAGTACTTTTCAGAAGAAGTTAGGGAAATTTTTAGATTTTTTGCCATCTCTCTCTCTCTCCTTTGGTGTTTACAGATTGTGTTTGTTTGGAAAAAGTTATGGCTGGAGGAGGGACAGTGGCTGTGAAGAGGCATCACAAACAGATTTGTTTATCTCTTGCTCATCCCTCTCTTCCATGGGTCTCTGATCCAAATCTGTTGAATTCAAGAGATCATTTTTTTTTTGGTTAAATAGATTGAATTTTGTTTGGATGATTGTTATTGTTGATGTTGATGTTGATGATTGTTGTTGTTGATGAACAAATAAAGATAAAAAAAATTAAATAGATAGAATTTGAACATATAATAAATTTGGACAGATATAATTTTATTTGGACAAATATTTAAACAAATAAGGAAAATTTGAATTGAAAAGATTAACAAATTAAACAGATAGTGTAAAAAATTGAACAGATCGGAAAATTTTTGAACATATAAGAAAAAAATTGAACAGATTGGAAAAATTTTTGATCAGATGAGAAAAAAATTTGAACAGGTAATCAACAAAAGTCAATCGATAAAAAAAGTCAACAAATAAATTAAACAGTAAAATTAAAAAAAAAATGTCATTTAAAACAAACGAAATGACTTTTCACCAAACTATTTAACAAAAGGTGGATCTCTCTCCAACAAAAAAAATATCTACTAGATCTAATGCCTTATATATTTCTTAACTTAGATTTATCACTAATTTACTCTTTAATTTCCCCACAAATTTGGTGCAAGGCACGTAGCATTGCTAAAAACCAATTACGTTGCAAAAATTTTTACAAGTGGAACATGTTGACTAACTTTTTTTTAGGTAATTGAAAGATAAAGAATGATTTGTTTTGTGTGTATTATAAGTTTTTATCTGTTGAAAATACCACAAACAATATATTTAAGAAATTTTCCTAATATTGATCCTAACAAACGACAATAAAGAACATATATAAACAACATAGGGAATCTTCTAAGGAATTGTCTACCAGTCCCAGTAGATGTAGAACACATAGATATTGTGCACTTGTTCGTGTGGTTACCAATTCAATTTTGAATCTTGAAAGATTGCCTTTGGTTGTGAATATGTGAAGAGTTTTATATTGGACTTACCTCCTATATCAATTGATCCATTCAAACGGTTTTCATATAGGGATAAAGTTTTGAGTGATGAAAGCACACCAAGAGATGGTAGGATGCTATTATTGAATGAATTCCAATTCAATATAAGTAGCTCCAGCTTGCCTAACACAGATAGTCGTTCAAAACCTGCAAAAATCAATTTCCTTTTCAAGTCACCACCATCCGTACAAACTAAAAGGAAACGCAAAATTGTTATGAAATTCTTTATATATATATATAGAGAGAGAGAGAGAATAGGTAGTTTGTTTTCTAAGAAACTTGGAGAGCTTCATTTGGGTTTGGGATAATAATAATATACAAACATTATTTTTGTACATAACCTGTTGTGTAAAATAATATTCTAAGTGAACAATATTGCCTGTAAATCTTCTTCAGTTAGGAAACTGAGAGTACAACCTCTAAATACCTTTTTTTTTTTTAATCACGATTGTATACCTTTTATATCTTCTATAAAATTGTCACTCAAATCCAGCTCCTTTAAGTTCATATCGCAGAATTCTACAATGAAGAAGGAAAAAGAAAAAGAATGGAGTGTAAATCTGATCATATTTTCTTTATAAGTCATATGAATAACAGTCCATTGAATTGTCAGTAAAAGAAAGAAAATGCCAAAATAATTAACATATCACTGTAATGGCCAATGGGTTTCATTTATTAGGAAAAAATTTCATAAAACTAGACTTCGTTTGGGATGCGGGTTGGTTTTTTAATTTTTTGACTTTTTAATTATTTTAGCCTATGGTTGAAAAGTCTCGTTTGGGATGAATTTTTTTGACTTTTTGACTTTTGTAAGAGAAAAAATGAAATGATTATGATTTAGATGTGACATTTTATCTTATTAATTTTTTAACCTATTTTGTCTTTTTCTGACTAAAATAAAAAAAATAAAAAAAAAAACTCTCAAACCCACATGCCAAATTATTGCTGAAGCTTTTAAATACACATTTAATTTCTTTTTATAACCACCACATTAATGTAAGGAAATATTTTTAGAGGAAAATATTTTTGTTATTAATATATATAATTTTTGCAATATGGAAAAAATAAATTGTTTCCCAAAGTTTATTTTCTGCAATGAATGAAATCCCATCGCCAATATTTTTTTTTTGTCAACAATTTTTTTGTCACAATTTTTTCATTGCAAAAATGTTTTTTCGTGTAGTACATCACCCAATATTTATGTGTATACATAAATATAATAAAAGTAACATGTGTATGCATTTTGGATGACCAGGAATACTTCACAAAACATGATTTATTTTTTTATTTTTTTTTATTTTTGTGGCCTTTTGTGTTTTTATTTTTTTATTTTTATGTTTTTACTTTGATTCTGATGAAGAGAGACACATAGGCTCGAAGACCAAATTTTAACACTTTTTATACTTTGAGAACTAAATTGATATAATCTAAATATTAAAAATTGAAATGATACAAATCTCAAAAACCGATCTACATGAGTGTTTTTCTTCATATTGTTTTTGCATTTGAATCATATTGTAATTTTCACTTTCAATCACAGTCCTTATAGAAGCCAAGTGGGTAAATTTTAGAAAAACAAAATCGAAAATGTAGGATCCAAATTATTCAAATTAAAATTATGAGAATTAAAGTAATACTTCACTCAGACTAAAAGACCAGTGGTATAATTTTTCCAAAAATATTTTACCCAATTACACGTAACCAAACGCCAAAAATTTTGGAAAGAATATTTTCCATGCAAACAAACAAAACCTTAGAGAATAAAAAGGTAACTAACCCTTGTTTATAAATTTGTCAGACTATCTTATGTATTAGATTCTATCTCAATCTGAGGGACTTACTCTTTTCGTGCTATGGTTTTTGTCAAGTCCAACTGTCATGAAATTGGATAATTGATAATTATTTAATAATTTTATAATATTACGTGACATTATTCGTGTGATGTTTAGAGGTATTATCCACTACTCCGAGCAGCTTGCAGAACACATGGAACTCACATTGGTGACAGAAAGATTGTCTAGTTGTGAACATATGAAATATTTTATTATTGGACTTACCTCTTATCTCAGTATCAATTGATCCATGCAAATTGTTTTCCCATCGGCATAAAGTCTTGAGTAATGAGAAAACACCAAGAGATGGTACGATGTAATTATTGAATGTTGCCTCTCAAATCAAGTACCTCTAGCTTGTAACCCGTTCAAAACTTAATATTAACATGTGATCTATTCTATTTATTAAAAATAAAAATAAAATCAAAAAATAGTTTATCCGTTTACTAAGAAACTTAGAAATCTTCATTTGGGATAATGATTACAAACATTATTTTTGTACAAACTTCTTTTGTGAAACAATATTGTAAATGAAAAATCTTACCGACAAATTCTTTTTAACTTCCAAAATGAGAGTACAACCTCTAAAAAAATTCTCCATTATGCACCTTTTTTTATTTTCTATTGAATTGTCACCAAAATTCAGCTCTTCTAAGTCGCTCATAAAAAAATAAAAATAAGAAAAATAAGAAGAAGAAGAAGAATAATAATTGAGTGTACATCGGTCTTAATTGTTTTATGAGTTGTATAGGATTGTGTCAACTTAGCTTGCAACATATAAAAAAAAAAGTGTTTTGATTTGGTCTTCCAACTTAATTTTGTCTACCTTTCTGGCTAAACTAAGGGTAAAGTTTGAAAACTATATATACACATCATCAAAAATTGAAGAAAATAAAAAAAGAAAAGCCAATATCTCTGGAGAGGACTATTCACATTATTATAATAAAATGTAATTTTTGTGACGCAGGAAAAAAAATTTGTCTCCCAAAGCTTATATTCTATAATAAATGAGATCCTCGCCAAATTTTCTGTTGATAATTATTTTGGCAATTTTTTTTTTCTTGTAATACATCATCCAATATATTTTGATATATAAGCATTCGCTTTTTGTTGATGTGTGTTTATGATTTTTATGTTTTGGCCTTAGTTCAAATAAAGAAAGACAAAATAGGTTAGAGGACCAAATTTTTTTATCAGTGTGGGAGCCAAATAAAAAAAATCAACTTCAAACTGGTCCTTTCAATTGGGTCGTATAAGTTCAAAGCCCAGTGAGCTAGGGATCGTTGCCTAGTAGGCATTGAGGCCCACATGGGAAGCCCAGTTCAATATTCAGGCCATGTGCCGAAACCAACTAATCCGGAGTAGTTGGAAGGGTCCTATTGGACCAAACTGTGGCCCATTCCAAAAAAGCATGATGAGAAGGTGAGACCGAGGAGGGAGAACAAAAAAAGACTAGGCAGACTCTAAGAAATATAAAATACCAACTATCCACACGTAAAAATTGACTTAAAACTCCGACACCACCGATCGGAATTGTTTATCTAACATTGCGAGGATTTTTCAGGTTCACCAAGATCGAAGGAGTATTTCTAAATCCATATCCCCACAATCAACAAAATAAACATTTCATTAAAAAATATGAAATTAAAAATATAGAAAGACGCAATGTATCGGAAGATGCAATGTATAAAAAAAGATTAAAAATTATAAATTACTGCTACTCCCATATATATAACCAATCTCTTGGCCAAGAACCACCCACCTTCCATGGCCCAAAAACCCAAGGCTGAAAAACTCCCTAGGCCGCCAAAACTACACCCATGGCTGAAAACCACCCCTCTCCCACCTATTAAACAACCAAGAGGCACCACCCATGGCCAAAAAACCACCTCTCCCACCTGTCAAACACCTCCCTGAACCGAACCAGCCGGCACTGAAACACCACTTCCATGGCCTAAAACCTCCCAAGATTTAACACCTCCCACGGCCAACGCCAAAGACCCATGCCTCATACATCTTCCTAATCTTCAACCACCCATAGCCGAGAGCCCCCATAGAACTGAGACCACTGACTCCTCTTTGTCGAACAACACCCGATCTGAGACCACTGACCTCTTTGCCGAACATACTCCTACATTCGAACACCCCCATGGCCAAAAAACTTCCAATACCGAACAACCCAGCACACATCGCAGAGAAGCACCCAAAACTAGATCACCATACACCCGCAGATAGAAGACCCGAAAAAAGATCCATGGCCAAACACCATAGATCAAAACACACCTAGGCATAATCTATAGATGTCAGAAAAACTAATATCGTGGGAAAACTTTGGGGATTCAAGTTAAAAATGAGAGAAAACAACAATCACACACAAAGGAAGCGAGGCCAGCTGACCGCCATGGCCATAGGCAGCACCCAACCGGCCAACGGTGAGACTCAGGATGGAGGTTAGGAATGGCAACGGAGCGGGGCGGGGTCGGGGATCACCCTTCCCATCCCAGATCACCGATGATAAGAATGTCCCCGTCCCCGACCCTGATCCCTGACGGGGAACCTATTACCATCCCCATCCCCGTCCCCTAACGGGGATTGGGTTTCCCCGACCCCGAAAGTTCCCCGAATCAAACGAAAAAAAAAAAAAACAACAAAACAAAACAGTAGCAACAAGAACAATGATTCAAACAACATCATCAACATCAATATCATCAAACAACATCAACAATACACAAATCTGAGTAAAGAGAGATAGATCTAAGTAGAGAGAGAGATAGATCTGAGCTGCAATCTAATATATATATATATATATGTATGTGTGTATATATAACACAGAGAAAGAGAGGCGGAAAGAGTCAGGCGGCGGAGGAGCTCGTGGAGGAGGGCGGCGAAGGAGATCGGCACGACGGCAGAGGAGGGCGGTGGACGAGCGGCGCTGTGAGATCGGGGGAGGAGGGGCACTGTGCTATGAGATCAGCGCTGTGAGATCGGCTCTCTCTCTCTCTCCATCCTCATTTTTCTCACGCGAAATGAAGTCGTGTGTGTGTAATTGTGAGGGAGCATAACTAACAAATATATATAGACAGGGGTAGAATTGTAATTTTATTTCGGGAGAAAAAAGGGGCTGGTCCGGGGCTGGGACATGTATCCCCGTCCCCGGCCCCGGCCCAAACATCATCGGCGATTTTTTTTTGAATACCATCCCTGGCCCGTGGGGGATATTTTTTGGGGAATAACCGCTCAATTCGGGGTCGGGTCACCGTCGGGCCGGTTTCAGATTGCCATCCCTAATGGAGGTTTTTAGAGAGAGAAAGATAGAGGAAGCATGGATAGTTTTGTGATCTTGGTTAGAGGATAAAATTGAAACACTTTGTACACTTTAAATACTAATTGCCATGACTTATACATTAAGAACTAAAATACCACAAATATCTTGTTTTAGGAATTAAAATAGTGAAATTTTAATTTAATTTCTATATTTATCCTTAAATTTAATAGTATCTATAAATTGAATTTGGTTGGAGGACGAAATCAAAATAATTTTAATACATTGAAAACTAAACAGATACAATTTTAACAGATAACTAAAATCACACAAACACGATACATTAGAAACTAAAATAGTAACCATCTCAACCTTGGGCACTTACTCTTATGGTGCTATGGTTTTTCGACTATCATAAAATTGAATAATTAATAACTATTTAATAATTTTAAAATATTATATGACACTGAATCACGTGATATTTTAAGGCAACACGTAGGCTTTGTTTGATTAGAATAAATAATAGTGAGAGGATTAACAATTCATGGAATTAGTGAAAGATTATCCAATTAGATTAGTTGGATAAATAATCCCCTCTTTTTCACGTTTGTTTTGCAATAAATATGGAAATATATAATACCAATTATATGTTTATTTTGTATTATTAGTTATAAGATTAAAAAATTCACCAATTTTGTTGAATAAAATGTCCATTGAAATCTAAGTTGAATAATAAAAATTACAATCAAACGTGTGTGAATTCTATGGATTGATAATCCTAATCCTATGTTATAATTTGTCCAATAAAAATAGCCCATAAAACTTACATTGATGCCGCGAAGATTGTCCATATTGATGCTGGAAAGGTTGTTTTAGTTGTGAATAAGTGAAACATTTTATACTGGACTTACCTCCTATATCAATTGATCCATTCAAACGGTTTCCAAATATGGATAGAGTTTTGAGTGATGAGAGCACACCAAGAGATGGTAGGATGCTATTATTGAATGAATTCCTATCCAATCTAAGTAGCTCCAACTTGCCTAACACAAATAGTCTTTCAAAACCTGCAAAAATCAATTTCCATTTCAAGTCACCACTATCCTCACAACTAAAACAACACGTTAAATTGACATGTATTCCATTTTATTAAAAAATATAAAAACAAAAATAGGTAGTTTGTTTAAAACTCAATTTTAAAGCATAGTGATCTATAAACATAATTTTTCTATCGAAATTTCGTATAAAACAGTGTGGCTTGTTGTGATCTTTTTATTACAAGCCAAAACATCTATCATTGCGGCTCATAATTGCAAAAATATTATGTAAAATTTTTAGTAAATTTTTTGGGACCCTAACATTTTTGTGCAAATGAGTCCATTTCAGTTGTTTAACAAATGTTGCATAGTATGGCAAGTGGCAGATGAGATAAATCAGGTGATGGACACATAAATCATAAATCATGTACAAAGATTGAGTGTTTAAAAAACAAACTTTACAATCATAAAATAAATAAATAAATAAATAACTTTATTTCCCCCCCCCCCCCCAAAAAAAAAAAAAAAAACTAATTCACTAGAATCATTAATTCGGCCGCCATCCAAGGAGGTTGTTTTTAATTTTGGGTTGGGCACAGAAGGGTGTTGTCCGGATCTATCACGAGTCCTATTTCGATTATTCAAACTGTTTATTTTGTATGTCACTTCATGTATATAATCATAATTTATTTAATTTATCGCATTTGTCTTAAAAAATAGAGTTAAAAAAATGTATTTTTGAAACCAGAGCATCTATATTTTTTTTGGTTCATTATTTTCTTCATATTGAAGTGGTATTGTTATCATACCTGAGTGAGTAATGAAACCATCAAACTGATTATCGCTAATATCAAGCTGCTCCAAGTTATTCAAACCTTTAAGATCTGGTCTCGAGTCAAGAAAATAAAAGTATTAATTAGTTGGAAACCAAGGAAACGTGCTTATTTTTGAATTCTTACACTAGTCTCAAACTCTCAGTTAAGAATGAAAGACTTTAATTTAAACTCACCATTAATATGAATAGTTCCCTTCAAATAATTAGAAGTTAGATTTAGAGACTTTAGAGATGTTAATTCACCCAACTTCTCAAAACCTGTAAAACAGTCAATAATGTATATCATAGCATAGGCCACAACGTGATTTCTGGAAACATTGTCAAAAAGAAAACAATAGAGTAGACTTGTTTGGTTGCTATTCTAGTAATAAAAAAAAAACCTTCATTCTCAAGCCAACCCGCTAATCCATTGTATGATAAGTCGAGACTTTCAAGTTCTTCAAATGGAAGAAACATTGAGGCATTCAGATACCAATATCTTAATTTCCAAAAATTCTCTGCAGAATTGAGTGAGAGTTGGATCACTCGCCTTGTTGTAGCATTGCACTTGACTCTTTCCCACTTACAGCAGTCAGTCGTCGTTTCACGCTCCCAAGCCTTCACCCACGTTGGAAGGAAATATTTTATTTGGTGGTTGATGGAAGAAGCTTTTAGTTGCAGAAGAGCAACCCTCTCATGCTCCAAACACCCATAGCTCTCACTAGCCAAAACCAACAACATTACCCACAACCACACCAACCTCATCTCTATAAACATGATGATACACCTATTTCTTCTTTGCATGTTCTGCACAAACTCAGAATTGCACATTTAGCACCCAAGTGGTCTGAGTCTTTATAAAGGGCAAGGCACTAAAAGCACCATCATACTCTGGGCCCTCCCACTTACTGATTTGAATTTGACTAATATTTATGGAAAAATTAAAGCAAACTCTCTCCTCAATATGAATTAAGCGGTTGGCCGGCCTTGATTAACTGTAAATGTGAAATCGTAACATATAATAAGTAAATTATCATTTGTCTCTTAATTATTTAATAAAAGTGAATTATCATGTATTACTTGAAATTTTTTTCAATACGTTGTAGTCTAATTATCCCCCTTATCATGTGGGTTTTGGGATTTAAAATTCCTACATATTGCCACTACTAATATATAAATAAATAATAAATAATTATAAGGGGAAATTACAAACAAAAACAAAAAAAAAGAAAAAAGAAAAAAGCAAGCAAGCAAACAAACAAACCAGTCTCAATGTTTAACCCTTAACCTTTGTAACAAATTAAGTCTCGAGTTTTTAATTTTATCAATCTAAATCCTAATCTTTTGATTTAGGGCAAATTGCATATACCTCCCTCGAGATTTAGCTAAATTACAAACACCTTCTTGAGATTTCAGAAATTACAGATACCCCCTGAGGTTTATATTTTCATAACAAATTGTCCCCTGAGGTTTATATTTTTATAACAATTTGTCCTCTAATTTGTTATGCAAATAGTACCTTCAGGGGAGTACCTATAATTTTGCTAAATCTCGAGGGTGGTATATGTAATTTGCCCATTGATTTATTTTCAATCTAAATATTTGCATATTTTTGTTAGATAAAACCAACATAAAAAAGAGTATTTTAGTGATTAAATTCAATGTAAGTGTACATAAAATGAGTCTACATTGACAAAATTAAAAACTTTATTTTTATTTTATTTTTAGGGTCGAATCCTGAATTCCTTTAAAATTACCCCTAATTATAATAATAATAAAAATTATATCACGGCTAGCTAATTTCATATTCATAAATAATTAGACAAAGGTGTTAGGTTTTTATTCTTGGCAATCCCGTTTGACAAAACTCCTTTCAGATGTATTTATTTTCGCACTTTTTATTTCAGTGAGGCTATGAGTTTATTAGATGCGAATCCAAACCCGAATCGAACCATGCAGAGAAGTTTGTGATGTTAATGCTTTCAAGATTGCCACTTCGCTGATTAGAATAAACTGTTTTGAATCTGCCAGCATGTTTACTCGAATTTTTAGATAATTTTATACTCAGAATTTCGAGATGATTTCTTCTACAAAGTTGTTGATAATGATGTCTAGTTTATCCAGAAGTTTTTGGAAACAATTTTTGAGCTTTTTACGAATCTATACAAATTTCTAACTGAATCTGAAACTGTGAGACAGATTTTACCATGTATGTGAAAATTTATTTAAAATTCTATACTAAGCCAAATCTTGTAATTTCTGACTAGAAGATGAAATTTGAGAAGTCTAGTTTCATAATAAATCCTTAGATTATGGGTTTGATCTATAAATTTAAGCATGGAATTAATGTAAGGAAATGTGACAAATCTGTGTCATAAACACCCTTG